CTCTCTGCTCCTATGATGCTGCTTGGCCTGCTGTGTTCATCCAGCCCTGCACCTTGTTGTCTCGGATTCTCCAGCATCTGCAGTTCCTACTATCTCTCATAAGAGAATGTGTTGGGATAAGGGGGACATTTTCAGGATGGCAACCCGTAACTAGTGGAGTGCCACAGGATTCAGTGCTGGGGTTATAATTATTTGCAGTATATATTAATGACTTGGATGAGGAAAGTGAACATATGATAGCTAAGTTTCCAGATGAAACAAAAATAGGTGAGAAGGCAAGTGGTGAGGATGACAGAATCTATATACAGATCTAAACAGGGTTGAACAAGTGGTCAGAAACTTGACAGATGGAATGTAATGTGGGAAAATGAGGCTGATATCTAGTTTGGAGGGATTGCCTTGTGAGGAGAAGTTGAATAGGTTGGACTGTACTCATTGGAGTTTTGAAGAAAGAAAACTGACCTTATTGAAATACACATGATTCTTAGGGGACTTGACAGAGTATATGCAGAAAAGTTGTCTCCCTTTTTAGGACAGTCTAGAACCAGAGGACATAATCTCAGAATAAGGGGCTGCCCTTTTAAGACAAAGATGACAGAGAATTTCTTCTCACAGGGAAATGAATTTGTGGAATACTTTACGATAGAGGGCTGTTGAGGCTGGGTGGTTAAGCTTATTAAGGCTGTGAGAGAGAGATTTTTAATCAGTAAGGGAACCAAGGGTTAAGGGGAAACTGCAGGAGAGTGGAGTTGAGGATTATCAGATGATCTGTGATCTCATTGAAAGTTGGACCAGACTTGATGGGCCGATTGGCCTATTTCTGTTCCTACGCATATGGTCTTAGTGGAAGACTGAAGTCCGTCCACAAGCTCCATCCCCTGCCACTCACTCATCCCTCTCTTTGTAACCTGAGTATCCTGTGGACCTTGAGATGAACCTCTGACCATTTATGTGCTCAATCATATCTATACTGCTTACTTACATCTGTGTAAAGAATACTCATCCATGCTTTTTGCCGCCTTTAGACTTGAGTATTGTATTGCTGTCTTGGCTGTTCTTAAACTCTTCCATATCCTTGTTGCTGATATCCTAACTTAGACCAAGTCCTATTCATTCACCGTCCATTTGCTTGTTGATCTGTATTGACTCATAGTTGGGCTGTATTATAATTTTAATGCTCTTTATCTTTGTCATTTCTGAACACCTTTGGTGTGTCTTAGGTGTTTCAATGAGTTAGAGGTGTATTAGAAATTTAAGTTGTTGTTTTATAATGGGTGATAAAAGGACTGTTCTAATAATGTTCTGCTCAAATGTCTGAAAGTGAGGAAATTGATTTGATTTAAGTTCGCCTCCCGCAAGATTGAGTACACAGCATCTTCAGCTATTTGCAGAAGCTATGGTTCACAAAATAAAAAACTGCACATCTTGTGTTATGAAAAAGATATGTTTTGCAGCATACGATTTGCTACTGCCTGAACTGATGGTATAAATATAATGCAACAGGAAAGGCTGTCTTTAAGTCATGTAAATGCAGTTAAATACAGTTAGGCAATTCAAATTACTACTTGCTTTTTCAAGACTGTTGACAGCTGGGCTTATTAAATTAAATGTAAAATGTTGGAGAATGTAACCCAGATGTCTTCTGTTTTCTCCTGCTGAATTTATTAGTCCCAGATGAATTGGTGAGTGGTTCTAATTAAATTTTAAATCAGTAATAAAAGGAGCCCTCTTGGCACAGCAGTAGCATCCCTACCCCGGACCAAAAGGCCTGGCTTCATGTCCCACTTGCTCCATAGCAAATTTAGCATCCCCAAACAAGGTAATTGAAATTAATTGTAAAAGTTGAGGCCCAAAATTGGTCTCACTGGCTAGTTTCACAACAGTATACATTTTCCTGTGGTTTCTAATTTGTGCTGCAGATTGTGCCAAAATTGATTTTTTAAAATTACACCTGTTTTTCCTAACCAAACTGTTCAGAAATCTTAGTACATACCTCTGGAGCATGTGGGACTTGAACCTGGGTCTTTCAGTCCAGTGGTAGGGACACTACTACTGTGCCACAAGAGGGCTAGCAAGATTAATAACAAGGTGTAGTTGACCAATTCAGTAATACAATTGTATTTCTAAACAGGTGGATAACCCAGTGTCAATTTTAACACAGGAGATGAGCAAACACTTTTTGCAATCCAAAAGTGAAGCAGATAAATATAAGGTAAGTCATATCATGTGTGTGGAGATAATCTGATAACTGAAAATATAAGCAATTCCTTCCTCCATCCTACTTTAAACATTTTAAGCATTCAATCAAAACATTAATTTTGAGTTCAAGAAACCAACCATATGATTTTTTGAAAAGTTTTTTATGAAGGCTACTCAGCTGGAACAAATGCGAGATGATTATTCCTATATCATGCAGACGAAGGCACTAACAAATGAGAAAATTGAAAAACAGGATGAAGTAAGTAAAAGTGTGTACAGTTTCCTTTGTTCAATTAAATGTTGTGTGACTTCAGTATGGCTCCATTTTTGTTGTGGTTATTAATTATTTCTTTAATCCTTTTAATCTTTCTCCTAACTAATTTCTTAAATTATTACAAGACACTTTGTATCTTTTTTTTTGTAAAGAGCTTGTTTGTATTGGTTTAGAATTAGAATTTGTAAGTGTGGATCCTGTTCATTACTCCTTTAGTATAAAATAACAGCTAATAGCATGAGTGGCTAAATAAGTTTTTTTTTTTTCTGTATAATTGGTAAATTTTAAAATAGTGTCAACTAATTTACGGGAAATATTTGAATCCTGACGCACGTTCTTTACTGTGCTTGTAAATTTCATCTGTGTAGCATTTTGGAAAATTAGCAAGGAGTTCAACTAGTCTGCAGAGATAAGGTCTTGATCTTACAGACTATTTTTCAAATTTCAGATTGTGGCATCTATTTTCAGTGGGTCAAATCAAATAAAAGTTTAAACAATCGGTAAAGTGCTACCAATGTCGAAAATGCTGAAGGCAGTTTGCATGCTGAACAGTGTCTGTCAAGAAAACACAAACTGGTTCACTCAGCTGAGAAATAGTTTATACCTGAAATGTTAGCAGCTTTGTTTTTAGTAATTTTCTCATCCCAACTTTGGAAAGGTAATCAACGTAGTGGGTATTCGTCTTGATTTCTCTACAATAATTAAGCAATATCCTGAAAGAGACAACAAGGTGCAGAGATGGATGAACACAGCAGGCCAAGCAGCATCATAGGAGCAGAAAGGCTGACGTTTCGGGCCTAGACCCTTCATCAGAAACATCAGCCTTTCTGCTCCTATGATGCTGCTTGGCCTGCTGTGTTCATCCATCTCTGCACCTTGTTGTCTCGGATTCTCCAGCATCTGCAGTTCCTACTATCTCTGATTCAATATCCTGAAAGAAGCAGGATTTGGGCTAGAATTTCTTGGTACTTTGCATAAAAAGCCTGACCTGTTCAAATAGTTGCCCATCTACTTTCTGTGAAAGTGCCTACTTTGGAGACTTAGTAGATTTCCAGTTCATAAACTGTGAAGTGTTTGCCAAACAGAATAAAATTATAGAATGGTTACAGCATCATTTGTCCAATTGTGCTGTCTATTATGTCAGACTCATTCCTGTGCAATTGAAATACTTCGAAATAAATCCTGAAAATAGACAGTAATTATGAAAAATTTATCCCCTTGAATAGGGCATTTGCAAAATAGAAAGCCCATCTGTCTATCTGTTTTTCAGTCTTGTCTTTTTGGAGAATGTGATATGATTTAATTTATCCACCAGAAATCTATCAGTCACTTTCTTCTTTGTCACCTTGCTTGGCGCACTGTTATTATGCTTTTTTAAAATCATTATTTTTGTATAAATATCTGATATTTACACACAAGTTTAATCTGGCTGACTCTGGTTATAGTATTTTGTAGAAACCTTTTTTTTGTTTGTTTCTCTTGTAGAATTGGGAAAAGGGCTGGTTTAAAAGCCAAGGATTATTGAAATTTGTTGCACTTTTTTTAAAAGGAAGTTACCTGACATTTATTGCATGTGCTGTTTAGACAGCTGCTTGTTCAAGCTGTTGGGAAAACCCCAGTTACAGGTGACCTGGAACCAGGGGGCTGTGTGCAAATGGAGACTGGGCCAGCAACTAGTAGTTAATTTGTCTGTAGACTAGGGACCTGCCACTGATGGCAAAGACATGCTAACAGTTATGTAGTGGCATCCAGCTAGTTGAACAGCTTGGGAGTTGAATGTTTGGACAGAAACCATTGTTCTGTGTTCTTCAGAATAGAAGGAGCTGATTTTCCTCTGCAGTAGAAAGCATCTTAGACTGACAATAGCCAGTTTATATCCCCTCATCTGTTGCTGTAGGCTATGATTTTTTTAAATTAATAATTCATCGTCCTTTTATAAGTATGACCCAGTCACCCTGTGCCTCCCTGTCTTATGTTGACAATTCATAATTGTTTATCTGTAGTTAAAATCAATTTATTTGTAACCAGTAGTCATTCTTGTTAAGAACAGAAATCTGGTTCATGTTTTCTGTCAACTTGGGTCAAAGTCTGGTAGTTTGGGGAATTTTGCATACATTTTGAAATTTTTAACTTTTCTGATGACTCTGGGAATAGGACAGCTTGATTTCCAGCATGCTATCCCGATGAGGCGTAACAATTTATATTCTATCCTGTAGTCAAATTGCTTGAATTTGTAATTTTTTTTTCTGTTAAACACCGAATATCAAATCAAAAATAATGTTTGCATTTTGAGGATCAGTTGACCCGTGATATTTTACTCAATTAGGTCCTGTAGATTGCTATCCCCTCTCCTCTATTTTTAAGCTAATTGTTTAAATTTATTCATACTGTGCCTCATACTATGTATTCTGCAAATTGCTTGTGTAGCATTATCTATTAGATTTTTAGGAAGGCACAGTGTCTTAGGATTGCTACCCTTAGGTGGCACAAAGGGCAGACAGAAAAGTGACATCATCCTCAAATAATGGGAAGAAGCTGCCTAAAGGTGGTGCTGTAGGGCTTAAAATAAATTAACCTACACTACAGAATAAAAAGAGTTTATTTTATCCTAGGCCCTTACCTTTCTCTCCCGCTTCCCTTGCTGCCTACCAATCTTCCTCAGCCTTCCCATGACTCTTATGCAATAAGGAGGCTGGCCTCCCCTGTTTCTGCCAAGGCCTTAGCCTCCACCTCACTGACCCTTACCAGCAACCGATGTATTGATGATGTCGCCACACATAAATATGGTGATGTCATAGGAAATGCCTGTGCATGTGCCAATGTCATGTCATGCCAGGTGAGGTCACAGGCTGCATCTGCATAAATGTGGCAGCCATTATTGCATTATGGATGATCATTCTGTTTTAGGCCATTTTTGTCAATGTTGATATATTAACACTCCTTTTGTAGTTGATATTGAAAGACCCAAGTTGCATTACAAATAATTCAGATGCATCTCTTTTTCCTTATGCCATTTAGTTTCTCCTTCTGGAGAATTTATTAGTTGTTTTTGCAGAACCTTGGGAAATAAATTTGCTTTGTTTTTCTCAAAGACATAGTAGCTTTCCAAAATCCACATCAACTGCCCTTTATAATAAGCTGTGATTTCAAAGTTATTTGTCCACGTCATTTCAGTTATTTGTTTTAATACTCAAAATTAACAGTCCATACTAATTTTGGTTGTTTAAATCTACTTTGTTTTTTCATGTTTCAAGAATGTATCTTATCCAGCAAAATGGAATAAAGTATATAGAATGATGTAATGTCATGCACAAACATTTTGCCAGATTTTAGGTTTGATGTGGCAAGAAGATGATAGTTTTGTATCTGTACTTTCTAAAGACATCCACACCATAATAATTAATTGCACTGATTCAGACTCCGTTTCTTTATTCCATGTGTAAGAACATCATTCAAAAATACAATTTGTTTGCATATGTTTTGATTCTTAATCCAGTCTATTAGTCATGGCTTAATGTATGATGAACTGAAAATGTACCCCTCAATCCTTGAGCTTCAGTAAGTGTTTTTGCAATTTGTGCCATTAATGATTTATATCTTTTGTAAAGAACCTATCGGAGCTAAAAGATCAAGTTAAGCAAAAGGAAGACCGTTATAAAAGCCTTTCTTCATTGAATGAGCTGCAGGACAAACTGGAGCAACTTAGGAATCAGATGGCCTGGGCATTGGTGAGCACCAGTGAAATAACTTTTTGTCTTGTGGTAATGATTCAGGGGATCAGAACTATATATTTTTTTAATTGCCATGGAAGCACAGATGGCCGATGATTTTTATAGAGAGATTAATTGAAATGTATTTGACCCTTAAGAAAATCGGCTTCACCCTTCCTAGCCTTTTTGGCTTATTATAACACCCGCAGAGATTGGGAAGTAAATTTGCATTGATGTCAGATGTGAGATCTTCTGAAGGGTTTGGTCCTACAGATATGTTGTTGTAATGAACATAATTTGATCCAGGAGCTTTCTTCAAGTGTCTGCTTAATGGTGCCCAATTAGTCTTACTGGCCAGCTCTGCTACAATAAATGGTTAATAATAATGCTTCTAGTGAATGAAATGGATTTAAACCAAATTCTAAAGAGCTTTAAGCATAATTTCCAATATGGCATGATTATTGAGAAATTTAGTAAGTTAAATTCTTGAAAATGAATAATATTAAAGAGAATTAGGAGTGTTTAAGTGAGCAATATTGACCAATACATCACAGACTTGATGGAACTGGTGTTCTGCCCTATTAGGCCCAATTATTTCAAAAACATCCTTCTTGGCAATACTGAAGTATTTCCTTTTTTGTAATAATATAAGCAAAGTACTAATACTTAAAATTATTCTGTTAGCACAGTTGTCTGCTTATTTTCAGGGAAATTTTATATTCAAGCATCAAATTAGAATTTGGGCATTTGTTCTGCAAATTTGGCAAAAGTGTCACAGTTATCTCCTCGGAACCTTTTGCACCCTCAAATTTGCCAGATAATATAGTGTTGTTTAACCATTCAATTTTGTGATGTTTGCAATAAATAGATAAATTTTCAAGCCAATAGATTTGTATTGTTCATATATATTGTTTGACTTGTCTTTCATATGGCTGTTCATAGTTGTTTTTGAATTGACAAATAGTGGGACTTGTAATGGTAATCATCTTAAGTTATTTAACAGTTCAGTGAATTTTGTTGAGCATACGTGAGACACAGAAAATGTTGATATTTCACATCTATTTCATGTTATTAACTTCGGCCTGGTATGATTTCCTGACTAGAGTGTGAGCAATCTTTGGCCAGCATGTGCTCCACATTGTTGTTTATAGTTCAATTGAAGTGCAACAGTTGAAATGAACAAGCCTCAAATTGAACTAACAGCTGTTGTTAGGTGTTGAATGAGCTTTCTATAAGGCATTATTGGTGTTTGTTCCTTTCAAGACATAAAGCACTGACCTTCAAATATGGAAGCTAGACCATAAACCCAGACATTCAAAGTATATTTGCTTTCACAGTCTTGTATTTTGGTATAGACTAAGCACTTATGTAGAGCCATATTTAAATAGGCTTAAAAAATTATAAGCTTTGCTACTGTTCTAACTTTGAATATCTAACTTGACTAATTTCTTGGCTTTTCAATTTCTTTTGCACAGTAGAAAATATGACTGTGGAATTGAATTACAAATTGTAGCAGGAAGAGTATGTTTTTAATTTTTTTATGTTTTTAATTTTTTTATATTTTAAGGTAATTGAAGTTGAAAAGCACCTGCAACCGATAAAAGATCGTATCAAAGTTGAAGAAAGTCGCAGTGTCAAATATGATCAGAAAGTAGAGGAATGGCAGGTGTGTTGGTATTTTGAAATATTGATTTCTTATGGCAATTATTTTGTTGTACTGTGTTATTGATTTAAGTTTTGACTAATTTTGGGTCTGAAGGAATTGGATAAATTGAAGGGGATATATTTTCAGGACAATGGGAAAGAACAGAGAAGTGAGATTAATTCAAAGCCTCTCCCAAATAGCCAGCACAAATGCAGTGGGGTGAATGATCTCCTTTTGTACTTTATCATGCATGTACAGTCAAATTACTACATTTAAACGCTGCTTCTACTGAAATGTAGAAATTTTTATTTTTCCTTTTAAGAATTCTTTTTTAACCTTGCTCCATTGTAGATGAAAGTCAATGAGGCAGAAGAGCGTTTTAAGACAATTCAGAATCAATTACAGAAAATTACAGAAGAGGCCCATGCATTGCGACCACAGTGTTCGACTTTAAAAGATGATGTACAAAGAAAAAACAAAGCATGCAAAGAGACAGAGGTCAGTAGATTTAATGGACTACTGTGGATAGCTGCTTTGATGTGCATTTACTGGATTAAATGGAGTGGTTAGGATCATTCAAATGAAGGAGTTTATCAACTTCATCACAAATCTAGGATTTAGTAGATTGGAATATATTCCAGACTAATGTATTGAATCAGTCTTCTGTTTGAGTTTTTAGAAATGAGTACAAATAAATGTCATACTTCCTTATTTTGCCATGCATGTTGTTGGCTATATTTTAAGTCTCCTGGTCCTCATTGTGGAGTTAGAATTCCTAAGGACAAGGACTATATTGACCTATTTTACAGAGAAAATAATCTTTTCTGTTTACTTTACAAACTTTCCAAGAAGATCTTGGAATTCAGTTGGTTCTTGGGAGATGGATTGTATTAAAAAGTAGATACATACAGGATAGCTCCATGCGCAGAAACAAACATCACTTACATAAAACAAGGAATTGGTTTTAAATGCCCTGCTCTAACCAAGGCCAAAAGTTGCAAACTTGTACAGGGATTTCTCCCTATTTTCCCATGACCACTCTACAGCAAAAAATCACAAAATGTAGCTAGAAAAAATAAATTTCTTTGTTTCTGGGAAAACTATGCGTAATGAATAGAGATAACAAGGTGTAGAGCTGGATGAACACAGCACGTCAGGCAGCATCAGAGGAGCAGGAAAGCTGACGTTTCGGGTCTGCTCCTCTGATTCTGCCTGGCGTGCTGTGTTCATCCAGCTCTATACCTTGTTATCTTAGACTCCAGCATCAGCAGTTTCCACTATCTCCTCGTAATGAATAGAAGTATGTTTATTGCTGCTTATTTTAGATGTCACTTATTTGATTTCTCAATTTTAGCATTTCAATTTTATTGTTTGCATAATTGTATTTCAACACCAATAATAAAATTAAGTTTTTATAAGCCAAATTTTCTGAACTTGCTCGAAGGCAACCTTTCACCGCTACAGGACACAGTTGAAACAACTTGAGAAAGACCACGATCAGTTACAGAAACGAATTGAACAGCTGCGAAATAGGTCAGAATATCTTTTGTATGGTACTGCATAAATAATCAGCAAGTTTCATTTTGCGGCATATATTTTTTTTTAAAGCTACAGCAAATCAGATGTTTGTCTTTTTTTTAAAATTTGCTTAAAGTTTGATTTGATTTAAGCTGGTTCTTGGATTAATTTTGCTGTTTTATCAATGTGAGCTCCTACATCAACACACCCATTGTGGAAATCCTCATATACATCTTTGTTACCTTCAGTTTGACCTATTCCATGTTCTCCTGGCTAGCCCACCACCTTACATTATCAGTATATATCAGGTTATCCAAATTGCTGTCCTTAGCCTAACTTGTACAGGTATTGCTCACTCATCAACCACATGTCCGCTGATGTCCCTTGATCTCAATTGATAGTGTTTTCTTTATTTTGAAATTCTCACCTTTTATTTTCATCTTGCTCTATAGTCTCACTGTTTCTTCCGTAATCTCCTCTGCCTCTGCACAATCTGTGAAGACACTCCATTCAAAACAACCTCTTTTTGACAAAGCTAATATCTCCTCACTGGCAAATTTTATCTGATAACTCTTGGGATTGTTTACCAGATTAGTGGTATTATATAAATGTAAGCAGTTTTAGCTTTAAGTTTAACTTCATATTAACATATTCACCATCTTGTAGCTTTCAGATTTTAGCAAATAATTCATACCTGAGATTAAACTACTTTTTGCTGCAATTGTTTCTCTCCCAATCAAGAATATCATGATTGTAGTAATTTTTACCATACATTTTATTTCAAATAGTATAAACCAAAGTTCAGAGGCTGAACTTCGAGAACGACAGGAAAGAATTAGCTGTCTGCAAAAACAACTGAAAACACTGGAGGACCAAGAGGCCACAACCTCCCAACAACTGGCACAGTTTCAACATGCAATTAGCAAGTCTAGAGATGAACAGGAGAAGCTTGGGTTGGTACCTTAGAGGAAAATCCCTGGAATAAGATTGTAACTGTTCTTGTTACACTGTTGTTATCACTACTCATAATAACATGGGCATTAAGAAGATGTGTTCAATCATTTTTAGAGGGAAAAAAAAAATCTCAATATTGTGACATGCTGATCAGTAAGGACAGAAGTCACTTGTTTATTTTAGAGCTGAAATTCATATGAATTGTTTAAATGCAGGCTTTCACAAATATGTTTCATTTTTTAAAAGTTCTCACTTTTAGTTACCTTGCATCTTTTGCAAACAGAAATCTGCTTCAAGACTTGAGCACATTATTATTAAGGTAGAAATATCAAACGGTGACTGTATTGCTATCCATCTCAAGTTCTTCTGAATAGTCAATGAGGTTTGTATTAAGAATCTGAAGAAATCTGTTTCCTAAATAGGAAAGTTTTCTCAATGTTTGAATGTTACGTTGAGACAAGTATATTGTTTTGAGTTGTGCTTTGGTTATGTTCATGATCTTACCTGTTCATGATTTTTTAATGCTCAAAGTACATGAATCTCCTAGTCTGTTGGACCAATATTGTTTCTAGATTCTTGCCACTTAGGAAGAAGGTCTAAAGCAAAAAGAAATGTGAGATCTTGGCTGATCTTTGAGCTAATCTCATTTAGCAATATTTGCCCTCTTAGCATTAATACCTTTGAAACTTTTTCAGCTCTGATTTAAACTAATAATTTTTTTGGTATTCTTTGTGCACAAAACAGTCTCACTTTATGTTGAAGTGTTCCTTAATTCCCTGAAAGATCTGACCCTGATTTACTGATTATTCCCCCTATTGCTAAATTTCCCAGGCAACAGAAGCAATTTCTCTTCATCTACCCTGTCTTTTCTCCTTGAAAGCCTTGATCGAATCACTCCTTGCCCTTCTAAATTAGAGACAATACAATGTGTTATTAATAATCTTGCTTTATGATTTAATCCGAACATTTGGAAATAGTTTCGAAAAATCTATGCTGTCCTTGCTCCAAGGTCAGTGCAAAGGAGTGAAACTTAACTGTTTAGAGTTCCAGGTGTGATTTAAGCCATTTGATCTCCTTTATTCTATTCTGTAGATGTAAAGACCGTCTTTCATTAATCTTTCTTGATTTTCTGTTTATGATATTTTAATGATCTGGGTATCTGAACATCCTGGTCTGTTTTGGACCGCTACTTTTTCCAGGTATTCACGTAAATTGGGTCCAAAATAGACACGTGATCACATTGAAGCCCGTTTGCCACAGTTATGTCGATTTAAGTTAACTTATCAGCATCTCTTTATAATATTTTACTTTGACCTACATTGCTAATAGTGTCACCTATCTTTGTGTCACTGGCAAGTTTTCATATCTATCCCATCATCTAAGTTGTTGATAAATATGGTGAACCAGTCCTAACATAGATCCTTAAGAGACAAGACTAGATCCTTACCTGTCACTCAACGGATTTCCTAACCAGGTCAGTAATGTGCATAGACTTCCCTACTTCTGGACCAGCAAACCTGGGTTGAAGTCCCACCTGCTCGAGAGGTGTGTAATAACATCTTTGAACATGCTGATCTGGAAATAACTTCCCTTGAGAGGTATTATCATATGTTCTAGTATATCTGTTGATGGTGATATAAACATATCATCTTAGACCTTGCCCAGGCTGCTACTTCAGTCAACTCTTCAAAATAAAATTAATCAGTTTCATGACAGATGACCTACATTTTGCATGTCCAGATTGGCTGTCTGACCAGCTAAAAGTTTTCAAGATGTTCAGCTATCCTCTTTTTAATTATAGATTCAAGTTTTCTGGTCCTTGTGTGAAAGAAATACAGGATTTTTAACAAATATATTTTTGCAATGTGCAATTTCCGAAATCCTGTAAGAATGGCACTGTATTGCCTTGACGGAAAAATGCTAAACCGTGAATATAAGCAAATTGCAACTCTAAACCTGACGGAATATGTACAATTTGTTCAAATCCAATATTGTACATAAAAACATAGATAGAAGCAGGCGGAGGCCATTCAGCCCTTCGAGCCTGCTCTGACATTCTTCACGATCATGGCTGATCATCCAACTCAATAGCCTAATCCTGTTTCCTCCCCATACCCTTTGATCCCATTTGCCCTAAGTGCTATATCTAGTCCCCTCTTTGACAGATTCAGTGCTTTGGCATCAACTACTTCCTGTGGTAATGAATTCCACAGGCTCACCACCCTTTGGGTGAAGAAATGTCCTAAATCGTCTACCCTGAATCCTCATTCTGTGACCCGTGGTTCTAGACACACCCACCATCGAGAACATTCTCCCTGCATCTACCATGTCCAGTTGTGTTAGAATTTTATAAATTTCTGAGATGCTCCCCCTCACTCGTCTGAACTGTAGCAAAAACAATCCCAACCTAGTCAATCTCTCCTTTTACGTCAGACCCGCCATCCCTGGACTCAGACTGGTAAACCTTTGCTGCACTGCTCGAAAGCAAGAGCGTCCTTCCTCAGAAAAGGAGACCAAAACTGCACACAATTTTCTAGGTGTGGTGTCACCAAGGCCCTGTACAACTATGACAACACATCCTTGCTTCTGGACTCAACCTCTCACAATGAAAGCCAACATACCATTTGCCTTCTTTACCGCCTGCTGCACCTGCATGCTTACCTTCAGCAACTGCTGCACAAGGACTCCCAGGTCCCACTGCACACTCCCCTCTCCCAGTTTACAGCCATTTAGGTAGTAATTTGCCTTCTTGTTTTTGCTTCCCAAGTGAATAACCTCACATTTGTGCAAATTATACTGCATTTGCCATTGATTTGCCTACTCATCCAACCTGTCGAGATCATGCTGAAGGATCCCTGCATCCTCATCACAGTTTGCCCTCCCACCCAACTTGGTATCATCTGCAAACTTGGAGATGTTGCATTTTGTTCCCTCATCCAAATCATTAATATATATCGTGAATAGCTAGGGTCCCAGCACTGATCCCTGTGGCACCGCACTAGTTACTGCTTGTCAATTTGAAAACGACCTATTCATTCCTAGTGTTTGTTGTGCCAACCAGTTTTCTGTCCATCTCAATACACTTCCCCCAATCCCATGAACTTTAATCTTGCACATTAATAGCTTACTTGGGACTTTGTCAAATGCTTTCTGAAATATTATAAACAGATGTGCATGTTCAACAATGAAGCATCTAATTTTCTAAATTAATTTATAGTTTGAATCTTTTTCAATACAATAGTTTTGCTTTATATATGGACATGTATATGCTCTGCATCCCCAGAGAAGAAGAAAAAGATGTGAAACAATCTGCTGAATCCAGGAAGGAGCGGCTCAAAGAACTAAAAGCCAGTAGAACAAACCAGCTGAAAAGGTTTGGAGAGAACATGCCTGCATTGCTTGATGCAATAGCGGAAGCACATAAACAGGGTCGCTTCAGGCACAAACCAGTTGGTCCTTTAGGTAAATTTCAGTATTTTATGGCGTAATTGTTTTAAGTCAAGTGCCTTTTTTTGCAATATGTAAATCGTAATTTTTCAAGCTTTATTGTCTTGTGTTCTCTGGTTTTAAGATTATTAAATCTTAGTAATGTCTTTTGCAACATTAGTTAGCTGATCATAGTTATCACAAAGCTAGCAGTTTTTTTAATAGAGATAGTAGGAACTGCCGATGCTGGAGAATTTGAGATAACAAGGTGCAGAGCTGGATGAACACAGCAGGCCAAGCAGCATCAGAGGAGCAGGAAAGCTGACGTTTCGGGTCGAGACCCTTCTTCAGAAATGGGGAAAGGGAAGGGTATTCTGAAATAAATAGGGAGAGAGGGGGAGGCGGATAGAAGATGGATAAAGGAGAAGATAGGTGGAGAGGAGACAGACAGGTCAAAGAGGCGGGGATGGAGCCAGTAAAGGTGAGTGTAGGTGGGGAGTTAGGGAGGGGATAGGTCGGTCCAGGGAGGATGGACAGGTCAAGGAGGTGGGATGAGGTTAATGGGTAAGAGATGGGGGTGGGGCTTGAGGTGGGAGGAATGGTTAGGGAGGCGGGGACGAGCTGGGCTGGTTTTGGGATGCATTCGGGGGAGGGGAGATTTTGAAGCTTGTGAAGTCCTCATTGATACCCTTGGGCTGCAGGGTTCCCAAGCGAAATATGAGATGCTGTTCCTGCAGCCTTCAGGTGGCATCATTGTGGCAATGCAGGAGGCCCAGGATGGACATGTCGTCCAAGGAGTGGGAGGGGGAGTTGAAATGGTTCGCGACTGGGAGGTGTAGTTGTTTGTTGCGAACCGAGTGTAGGTGTTCCACAAAGCGGTCCCCAAGCCGCCGCTTGGTTTCCCCGATGTAGACGAGGCCACAACGGGAACAGTGGATACAGTATACCACATTAGCAGATGTGCAGGTGAACATCTGTTTGATGTGGAAGGTCTTCTTAGGGCCTGGGATGGGGGTGAGGGGGTAGGTGTAGGGGCAGGTGTAGCACTTGCTGCGGTTGCAGGGAAAAGTGCCGGGGGTGGTGGGGAGTATGGAGCGGACAAGGGAGTCATGGAGAGAGTGGTCCTTCTGGAAAGCAGATAAGGGTGGGGAGGGAAAAATGTCTTTGGTAGTGGGGTCAGATTGCAGATGGCGGAAGTGTCGGAGGATGATGTGTTGGATTCGGAGGTTGGTGGGGTGGTACATGAGGGCTAGGGGGATTCTGTTTTGGTTGTTATTGTGGGTAAGGGGTGTGAGGGATGAGTTGTGGGAAATGCGAGAGACACGGTTTTTTAATAGATTGTGATGGAATGTTCTGATGTATAAATCAGAAAGTTAAGTTGAGACATATTCAAGTTTAAGGTCTTATCATGAATAGAAACTAAAAAGAGCTTGCACGGCCCAACATATCTGCCAGAACTATAATTTCACATGTGAATTCAAGTGAAATAATTCACTAATACCATTTTTAACATTGTCTTTTTCTTCATCTCAAAGCAAAACTATTTCTATCTATTTAGATAGATTTATATAACATGGATGACATATCACTAGATATTTTGCTTCAATTATAATATCTCTGTTCCCTTTAGATGAAATTTATTTTTAATCAACCTATTTCTGACTCACCTCTGTCGCAAGTGAGACTTGAACCTGCACTGTCTCGCCCAGAGATGGGGGCAATAGCACTGCACCATAAAACCCCAACGTACTTTTGGATGAATGATGACTAAAAATAGATACTGTAAATTGCCAGCGTGTTCGTGTTGGCAAATATTTGGGTGGTGCTCTGTTTCCTTCAAAGCATCTTCAAATTTAGTTTGATCTGTTTGTTACAAAACATTTTTCAGATGCTGTAATTATAGATTAATTTCATTTGTTGTGTAATAAATATTTTAATGCTTGCATACATTTGGCCGCATTGCATGAATGCCCTTTGAGCCCTGTGATTGATTAGTATTTTAAGAAATATATTAATTTGAAACTAAATCTGCCAATGCTGATATTGATGAAAGCCATAAATCTGTGTGACTTGTTCTCATTATTCTTTAAGCCGAGTCAGCACTTTGAATTGAAAACTGTGTATTTATCTATTTTGCTTGCACTACTTATATTGTTTTATATAGCTAACTAACTTGTGATATGTGCCTTAGAAATGTGATTTGTTAGCAAGAGGAATTGAATTGCAGTAACATGATTACTGCTTTAATTAAGACCAGTTATTGATTGTGAATCATTTTAGATTTGCAGAATATTTAGACTTCAAATTTGATCATTTTCATAGACATTTTGACTTCAATATTGAATGGAAAAAAATGACTTGGCATTTACATATTAAAGTTTAAAGTATTTTGAGCCTGTTAAACTGCCAGATTGAGCATACTGGTGATTACTTTTGATCAAACTGGTAAGAAGGAATCCAGTTAGAGAATAAATAGCCATTTTTACTTATGTTCTGTGGTTTTGCAAATGTAGGTAATTTAAAAATTGGAAGGAGTAGAAGAACATGGTGTGTCGTGTTTCATGAAGGTATTTTCAGGTAGTGAGCTTAGATTTAGACTGCTAATGGAGGGAATTGTCAAAACCAAGAGACTGAATTAAAGTCAATTAATGACATCAATATAAACGGCTGTTTGTATCTATCCCTGCCAGATCTGTTGTCATGGTGGGCTACTCTTGTCTGCCTTGTGGCAGCTTCATGTGTCCACATTAGCTCGTCCACAACCGCTCTGTGATGTCTTACATCAAACCACACCAAGTTGATCCCTCTTTTCCCCAGCCCTCCTCCTTGCCTTCTAACAGAGCTTTTCAGCTTTGGTCTAATGGCCAAGGTACAGCAAACTTTGTTTAGTCGGCCTGTTATGAACCAGCAATCTCAGTAAATCAGCAAAAATTACTAACCTCAAATACTGCAAAGTTTACTGTTTTATTCTATCCAGTTATTATAGTTTTTAATTTATTTATGTCATTGTAAATATACTTGTTGTTCAATCAAATGGCCATGGCACAATACCAACAGTTGATTCGATGATGAGTCAATTTCTCCTCAAATTCGGTGAAGTCGGAGTAGTTCGTTGAGGTTATTTTAGTGATTTGTGCTGTAAATAAAGTATAACATTGATGTTTTTATCACCTGCATTATGTTTCTATTACTCAGAGTGTGTTTTTACAATGATTATGTGGACGTCTTGATTATCTGGAACATCTGATTAATCAGCATACTCCTGGTCCCATAGGGGCCAAATAACAAAAAGTTTACTGTGCTGACATTTTTTGGTTGGCAGGCTTGACCCTACATTTTTTACTTTTGCAGTTTTAAGTACCTCTTTGTTAGTCTTTGGTCTTTATTTGGAATATTAACATAATCTTAGGATCCATATTTGCAAGGTATCTTTTTTTCTTCCATGAATCTTTATTTACTGTCTAGGTTTCTGAGGTGTACATAAAAGTGGATAAAATGAAGCATCATTTTAGCTTTTTTTCTTGCTACAAGCTTGAGTTTTCTTATTGTTAACACTTTCACATTCACAATATTATTTCTAGCTATCTCCCTCCACCATCCTTCAAAATTCTTCATTGCATCTGTGATTTTGTGTTATCACTTGTCCTAACTAGGCAATCTTTTATTACTGGTTTTTGTGTGACACCATCAACTTCAATATTCCGTTTAGTTTCTTTCAATGCATTATTTCTAAATAGATTGTTTTCCTGATGTTCGTGCTCCTTCATATTCTAAATTTCCAGATTTTATTTGATCTATATTTTGCAAGTGCTCTTCTGACTGTAAGTAGTGCTGTGTCATCAGCATATCACAAGTTAATGTCTCTGGCCCCAGTTGTTACCCTTGAAGTACGTCTAATTTTCTTAATTTTTTTTTTCTTATGTGTA